GCATGTGCCCTGACTGGGAATTGAACCGGTGACCTCTTGGTGCAACCACTGAACCACACTGGCCAGGCAAAACAATAGTTTTTCAATACACTAAAAATAACCAACCAGAGAGGTAATGGGAAAAAAGGATCCATTCGCGTTAGCAACAAGTAAGCAGTCCTTCACAGTAGCCTGTCTGAGGACACTGACATGTGACTGACAGAACAACGGCACGCTGGGCCCCACTCTTGGATGGGAAGACAATGCTTTGAAGCTGCCAGATTCCCCCACATAGCATTCAGTGCAACCCCAAACGTTTTAAAAAACCTTTTCATGAATCTTGAAAATGTATTTTTTCTTTATTGATTTTAGAGAGGAAGGGAGGAGAGAGATAGAAACATCAATGAGAGAGAACATCGACTGGTTACCTCCTGCACGCCCCCCCACTGGGGATTGGGCCCACAACCTGGGCATGTTCCCTGACCGGGAATCAAACTGGCAACCTCTTGGTGCATAGATTGATGCTCAACCACTGAACCACTCCAGCTGGGCAAATCTTGAAAATTTTATCCTAGGTGTACAAAGTGTTTCTGGCAGTGTATTGTTGTTATCATTATCATTATTATTTTGTTAATCCTCACCCGAGGATATTTTTCCATTGATTTTTAGAGCGAGTGGAAGGGAGGAGGGGAGAAAGAGAGAAATATCGATTTGAGAGAGAGATCAATTGGTTGCCTCCCACAGGAGTCCTGACCGGGAACCAGGATCAAACCCAAACCCAGGGACATGCCTAGCACTCGAACCCAAGACCCTTCAGTCCCTGGGCCGATGTTCCAACCACTGAGCCATGCCGGCTGGGGCTGGCAGTGTGTTATTTACTGCTGCAGAACAAATGCCCCCAAAACTTAGCAGCTGAAACCACTTCTAAATATTTGTGTCCCCATTTCTGTAGGCAAGGGATCTGGGAGCTGTTTGGCCAGATGGCTTTGGCTCGGGGTCTCTCACAAGGTGTTGGTCACAGCGACAGTCACTGGGAAGCTCAGATAAGCTGGAGGGTTGCCTCACTCACGTGGCTGGCAGGTCAGCTCCTCACCACGTGGGCCTCTTCATGGGGCCACTTGAGTGTCCTCACGTCGAGGTGGCTGGCTTCCCCTCGAGCCAGTGATCCAACAGAGAGCAAGGAGGAAGCTATGGTACCTTATGTCTTATGTGAGGTCACACCCGTCATTTCTGCAACATCTCATTGACCACACTGGTCCCCCTATTTAGTGTGGGGTGGGAGACTCCGTGCATGCCATCCTGGAGGCTGGCCAGTGCAGCCTGTGAGACATTAGCCACGGGCCCATCCCAACCCAAGCAGGAGAAATAAAAGGCATCTATACCTGGAACAATGGGGGCAACCCTGCAGGACAGAGACAAAGCGAAGATCTTACCCTTCAGAGGTGCGGCAGACAGGGACAACTTGGAAGCTTGATGGGGTTGAGTGAGCTTGATGTGCTTGCTGAGCATGAACTGTCACCCTGGAGTTCTGTGATGGCAAAAATATCTCTCAAGAAGAGGGCAAAATAAGTCAGTAAAATGATAAGCAGGAGAAAGAAGTTGCCCCCAGCAGACCCTTCTCCCAATTCTGAGAACAGACCTCACACCCAGGAAAGTGACCTCAGATACAACGAGGGGCACAGAGAAGGCAGCTTGTGGGCAAACTGAAACTGACCTGGCTGGTCCAGCTGAATGGCCCGTGCCCACACACAGGAGGCCCAGGGGAGCTGAGCATTCACACCCACCATGGCACAAGTGCCCAGAGCTGTCCCAAACCCCTTGTGGTTGAGAAGATGATGGAGACGTTTGTCACCTTAAGACTTTGATGAGTTTGCATGCACACAGTGATGACACCAAAAGACTAGAAAGAGCCCTGGCCAGAGCGGTAGAGTGTCAGCCCGCAGATCAATGAGTCTCAGGTTCGATTCTGGTCAAGGGCATGTACCTTGGTTGTGGTTTTTCTCTGGCCCTGGTTGGGTTGTGCAGGAGACAACCAGTTGATATGTCTCTCACGCCCTGGCCGGTTTGGCTCAGTGGTTAGAGCATCGGCCTGCGGTCCTGAGAGACCCGGGTTCTGTTCCTGCTAAGGGCACGTACCTCGGTTGCAGTTTGTCCCCGGCCCTGGTTGGTCGTGCGGGTGGCAGCCACTCGATGTGTCCCTTTCACATCGATGTTTCTCTCTCTCTCTCTCTCCCTCCCACTCTACCTGAACAAAAAAATGGAAAAAATGTCCTCAGGGAGGACAAAAAAAAAAAAAAAAAAAGATATGTCTCTCACATCGATGTGTCTCTCTCTCCCACTCTATCTGAAGATAAATAGAAACATATCCTCGGGTGAGGATTAAAAAGAAAGAAAGGAAAAAAAAAAAAAAGACTAGAAAGAGAACCACTTCTGAGCAAGTGGAGGGGAGAGTGGGATGGAGAAGACACTGGACCGGTCCAGCAGAAAGAGAGAGAGAGAAAGACTAAAACAGGAGGCACAAGATCGGCCACAGGTATAAGTGCATCTGTAAATTCAGCAAGTGGATCAAACACCCAGGTACAAGGCAGATGTTCTCGGTGGACTGAAAACACACAGTCCCTGTTATGATGGGTGGGAGGGAGATGGTGACGGACCCCAGCACCCACATCCTGCTTTGCTGCCAAGCTCTGCCAACTTCCCTTGGACCTGGAGTTAGAGCGTGAGCAGATATCCTGTCCCATCAGTGCCCTCACACGAGAGGGGAGGTGCTGAGCCTATCACAGGAGGGGAGTGGAGTTAGGAACACAGCCCTCGGTGCCTTCTCTGGATCGGTAACTGACAGCACATTTGTGATCGGGAAGAGTTCCTGTTCTCTGATGGCCCTTTCCACATCGTCCCGTTTCGTTTCAGACACGACATACCCCGGAGAGCCATTATGGGGTGGGGGGCAACTGTCTTCTCTATGTCATAGCTCTGCCCTGTGGCTTTCTTTCATCCTTGGTTCGTTTGCACACACAGGCAAATGGTGCTTGGTTTGTATTGAGTGGGGCAGGCGGGGCTGGCTGGAGGCTCTTTGGGGCATGACTGGCAGCTTTCTGGTTGCTCTGCCCTGGACACCCCCTCTGGGTGTCTGCAGGATGTTCTGTGGAGCTGGTCACTTTCCCCAGAAAGGAACCCTCCCCTCTCCTGGGGGGAAGGGAGACAATAGCCCGGTTGCCAGGGTTCCTGGTGCAGAGTGGGAGGAGGGACTGGGACTTCACATTTTTTGGGGGGGCTTAAGCAGAAATGTATTGTGTCACAGTCTGGAGGCTGGATATTCAAAATCAAAGTGTCAGCAGGGTTGGTTCCTCCTGTCCCCAAGGCTTCCTGTGTCTCCCCACATCACCTTCCTTCTGTGTGTCCAGACGTCCACTGCTGTGTTTTCCCATCCTAACCATTCTTTTTTTTTATCCTTACCCAAGTACATTTTTTTTTTCATTTATCTTCAGATAGAACGAGAGAAAGAGAGAGAGAGAGAAACATCAATGTGACTGGTTGCCACCCACACGACCCCAACTAGGGCCGGGGACAAACTGCAACTGAGGTACGTGCCCTTAGTGAGAATCAAACCCAGGTCTCTCTGGTCCGCAGGCTGACACTCTTAACTACTGAGCCAAACCGGCCAGGGCCCATTCTAACCATTCTTAAGTGTATGGTTCAGTGGCATATTCACATTGTCATGCAAGAGTCTCAGAACTTGATCATCTTCTGAATCTGAACCTGTGGCCCCATTAAACACTAACTCCTCCTCCCCTCCCTTCCCCCAGCCCCAGGCACCACCATCTACTGTCTGTCTCTGTGGGTCTGACTCCCACAGATCCCTCTTATCAGTGGATTCAGTCAGTGCCCGCCCTGCACCTGGCTTGTCACTGGGCACGGCGTTCTCAAGGTCCGTCCATGTTGTAGCCGGTGTCCTTTCTAAGGCTGAGTAACTTTCCACAGTGTGGCTGGACCACATTAGGTGGACACTGGGTTGCATCCACATCTCAGCTGCTGTGACTGATGCCACTGTGAACATTGGGGTGCATGTGTCTCTTTGAAACCTGCTTTCAGTCCTTTGGGTATATACCCTAAAGTGGGATGTTGGATCATATGGTGATTTTGTTTTTAATTTTTGGAGGACTGGGGTCCTCATTTGTTTTAACCCTCTATTTTTAGCATGGTAACCCCTCTCCCATGGCACTCCAGAGAGGGACCTGCTGTCTTCTCCAGGGAGGTAGCAGGATGGCTGGGCCATGCAGGGGACCGCAGGGTCTCTCTCAGACAGCCCACCTGGGAAGTCCTGGGAGTGGAGGCCTGCAGGGGGAGCCTGCTCCTGGCCTTTCCCAGCTGGCAGCAGCCCATTCCTGTGTCCTGATGGCCGCCATGGCAGCATTTTTCCTTTCTCTCTCTCTCTTTTGTTAATCCTCATGCGAATATATTTTTCCATTGATTTTTTTTTTGTTTCAGAGTGGAAGGGAGGAAGAGAGAAAAACACTGATGTGAGACACATCGATTGGTTGCCTCCTGCACAGTGAGGATTGAACCTGCAACCCAGGTACATGCCCTTGACTGAGAATTGCACCCGAGACCCTCGGGTGCGAGGGCCATCGATCTAACCACCGAGCCACACCAGCCAGGTCTCTTCATCTCTCTGTGGTCATTTTTGCTGGGCTTGGGGAAGAAAGGCTGACTGTTGGGCCCCATGTTTCTTGAGGTGCAGAGCAGCCTGGCTGTTGTTCTCCCGCCCCCCCCATCGTCTGTGTGCGGGCTGGAGTGCTATGCCCAGTGCTATCTGGGCCACCACGGCCTCCGCTGCAAGGTCACCCTGTGACCCTGTGCACAGCCAAGCGGGACAGGTGCTGCCAGGGATCAGGTGCAGAGCCACTCAAAGCCCTGTCCACCCTCTTGGGAGGCTGAGCTGGATCCTGGGAAGATGCAGAGGGTCGGCGGGTGCAGGGACCCCACACGTGGCCAGCGCTGACCGTTGCCCGTCCTCACAGGTGAGCACACCGCTGGAGAGCAGGCACCCCAGCCGCCACTGGTGCCTCAACATCGACGAGCGCCGGCAGCGGGCCATGGAGAGCGCCTCCGGGACCTCTGGCCAGGGCCTGGTGCGCCAAAAGGGGGAGGGCAGTGGTCACCCCTTCTCAGCCTCGCCTCTCCCCACTCTCGCTGACCACGCCCCCGGCCCCTGGTCTCCAGGACGACATCCTGCAGGTTGTGGCCCAGCTGGCATCCAAGGACGTGGACAAGGACGTGCTCATCTCCAACCTGCCCAGGTCTGCCGAGTCCACCCAGGGGGTCCTGGGCCAGAGCACGCCTCTCTGGCCCAACAGGACTTCGGAGACCTCGACCTTGAGGTGGCCACCGTCCTAAGTGCCACTCGGCACCTTTCCTGGGGGGTCTTGGGGAGGCAGCGCGCGGGATCAGGGCCACTGGAGGCCTGCTTCACATCCCCCGAGGGGGCCGTGACCACCCTCTGCTCCTGCCTCCCGCCTGCCTTACCGCTAGACTCAGGAAACCTTCCAAGATCACAGTTAGGTGCCCCCATTCTCTCTGGGTTCCCCTGAAATTAAATGTTCCAGCCATGTGCATTTCTCAGGACCCGCAAGGTGGGTGGAGGGCCACAGAGACAGTGGGGTGGTGGTGGGAGCTGGGGAAGATGCTCTGCGGTGGGGGGAGGGTTAGGCAGGGCTTGGAGGACATGATGACCCCTCCTGCCCCAAACCCCTGAAGATAAAGTGGGGGGTGGGTCTCAAGGGCCAGACTGCCTGCGGGCAGGAAGATGCTCCCCCACCTCCCGCGCCCGCAGGCCACAGTGGTGCGGAGTCCTGCTGCGGAGGGACTCCAAGGACTCCGGGTCAGTCCGAGATCCAGGACTCACGGCTTACCCTGCCGTCCCATGTCATCTCGGGGTCTCTCTGAACACGGTCTCCTCCATGGGAGCTGGCCGGTGGGTAGCCCAGCGCCTCCACCACAGTGGCCACAGCTGTGGTGGTTCAGGGTTGAAGCCTGGAGCTGGGAGCCTCTGTGGCTGCCTCCCGTGGCCACAGCTGCCACAGGGCCAGCCCAACTCGTGGAGTCCGCCAAGCGCCGGGGCAGGTGGCACTGGGTACTGCCGTGCTAGCCAATCACCACAGACCCAGCGTCTCAGCCTCAGCTCAGTTCTGTCCGAGCCCGAAGCAAGCCTCACGGGGCTGCCGCCAGGGTGCGGGCAGGGCTGCCTTCTTTTCTGGACGTTCCGGGAACAGTCCATTCCGGCCTGGCCAGCTTCTGTCAGCTATCCGCATCCTTTGGCTCGTGGCCCTCCATCTCCCAAGTCAGCAGTGTGGTGTCCCGTCACATCTCGTCTGCCGCCGCCTCTTTTCAGGGACCATGTGATTACTGGGCCCCCTGGGTGACCCAGGGCACTGTTTGACGGTCACGGGGCTAGCAACACCCCCCCATGCCATGTAACCTAGCACAGCCGCAGGCTTGGGGTGAAGACATGGACATCTTTGGGGGAGCGGAACTGCCTTCCACAGGGGGCTCCTGGCATCCAGTGGGTAGAGGTCGGGTGTGCTGCTCGCCATCCCACACAGCACAGGGTGTCCCACAACCAGGAATGATGGGATCCCAGTCAACAGTGCCCCTGCTGGGAGCCCCTGGAAGAGAGGAGGGTCTAAGGCGGCCTGGGTGCCCGGGTGAGTAGGGCGGCATCAGCCTGGTTAGAATGTCAGCCCCGGCCACACTGACAGCAGACACTGCCTTGCGGTCCCGTGTCCCTTCGCTCATGCTCCCCCCGTAGGCAGGCCTCCCCAGCTCTGGGAGCAGTGGCCTCCCTGGGCCTCACAGGGACACCCCCAAGTGGTGCCACGAGTCAGGCTTGTGTGGAGCAAGGGTAGGAGGCTTCTAGATACCCAAGCAGAAAGGGGAGCCCCTCAGCCTGCCCGTGGACAGCCACTGTCCCTCATAATCCCCACCGAGGGAAAACAACTTTGGCTTTGCAAGAACACTCACTATTCAACCATCAACAAGAAAGTTGTAAAAACGTCGTCCACAAATCCATCACCGATATCGCTGCTGGCACTCGGTGCGGCTCACTCGGATATCTGAGGGCCTGGGCAGGTGGGGGACCTGGAGATACAGCGTGAACGTGAGCTGCTCTTCCAGGTTGAAATACTAATTCAAGGGAAACCGTGGTTGCTGAAATGAGGTGAGTGCTTCACTCCCGAGTTTGGAGGACTCTCCTAGAGTTACTCTTAGAGACCACAGAGCCATGAAGGGATGGTGTCCCTGCTGGAGCAGTGCCGGCCGGCTTGCTTTCCATGCGCCCTGCCTGCGTGCCACGGGCAGACCTGCTCACCCCTTCCCGCAGGTGCCCTGCGGGTCCCCTGTGCCCTGGATGCCAGTGTGCCAGCTCACACCCATGCTCAGCCCCTCAGGGTTGGCAGCGGCCATAGTCTCAGTGGCTGGATTTGAGGTTGGCTTTTACATTTTTAAAGAACTTCATTTGGGGGGGTTCTAGGTTTAAAGGTGTTTTCTAGGGGCCTTTCTGCTCCCGGAAACTTGGCTGGAAAGGTTCTCGGGCTCCACTTTCTTTGCCCAAACCCTTCAGGCCTCAAGCACTGCTGGAGATTGGGGTCAGCCTGGCGTTGGGTCCTTGTACAGGAGGTGCTCTTTCTGAAAGTGACCTTAGTCCTCGGGAGGTGGGTCTCAGTGGGTCAAGCCTGCAGGCTTTTCTGGACCACGGCAGGAACCTGGAGTGCACTGGCCCCCTTGAGCCCCGGGAACCTTCCTCTCCTCTGGGACCAGGTGCCCTGACTCTGGGCCTCTCCACCACCTCTGCGTCTTCCCAGTCCCTTCCCCATCCCGCAGCACACCGCAGGTCCTTCTGAACAAAGGCCAGGCTGCTCTAGACCTCCAGTGGCAGAGCCAAGGTCCCCATGGGCCTGAGGCCCTGCACAGGCACGTGGCCTCGGGGCCTCCTCACCCACTATTAGACTCCTGGGCCCTCCTCCACCAGTGTCCTGACCTCTCTCAACAGCGTCCCTCTGATCACTGTCTGAGAGCACAGGTCATCATGTCATCTGCACCACCTTCCCGCCTCCTACTAGACTGCAGCCCCAGGGCAGGCGGCTTCCTCATCCCACACCCCCAGCATCTAATCAGTGTGCCCTGAGGTCACAGCTGGACAGTTCCTTGTGACAGCTTTGTTTTGCCCTGAAATGACCTCCAGCCCTTCCTGTACAACCTGCCTCTGCCCCTTCTGTCCTGGCGGCCCTGGTCCGTCTGGCTCCAGTGGCGGTGTCCTCTCGTGGTGGAGCTCCTTCCTCATCGTGGGCTCAGGCTCTGACTCCCAACTCCCACTTCTCAGGACTGTCCTCTGCTAGGTGGCCCGGCCCCTCGCTCCCCTGCCTCGTTTCCCCACACTGGGATTGTAGGTGTGTTTGGGCCTTCACAGCCATTCCTGTTCTGACCAGTCTGTCTGCTCTGCTACTAAATGGATAAATTCGTCTTTTTTGCAGCGGATCTGAGCTGTGCCAAGCTGGCAGTGCTGGGTGACAGGCATGGCACTGTGTGCAGCCCACCTGTTAGTCTGGTGGGGGGGGGCTGGGCTCTGCGCTGTCCCGAGACTTCACGAAGTATCGCTCTGCTCTGTGAGCGGTGCATCTTACCTCTCGTGGGGAGATCTGGAATTCGGGTGGCTTCCCTCAGACACCCACCCCAACATGAAAGTCAGCCTTGCTGACCTCCCTGGATGAAGGAAAACGGGCTCTCCCCAGCTGGGATAGGGTGCCCTCCTGTTCCAGGATGCTGTGTGGGCCGGAGGGGGTGTGCAGAAGCCCGGCTTCACCAGGCAGGAAGTGTTGGGCTCTCCCGTGCCTGACAGCTGCCTGGGCAGTTTTTGGTAGTCCTGACTTTGGGGTCAATCTGATAGATGCTGGTAGAAGCCTTAGGCTGCAGCCTCGCTTTCCTAGAGAGGAGGCCACAAAGTGAGGGCGGGCCTATGGGAAGGGAAGGGAGCATGCCACCCCCTTCAAATACCATCCCCCAGCTCCTGTACTTAAGCGGCTTCCCCCATCAGTCACAACCGTGGGCCCAGCCCTCTGCACCCCTCACTGCCCTCCCAGCTACGATCCCGACAGAGCGCCCCGCTGCTACTGTAGCATGTGGCCCTCTGCCCTCCTCAGACCCGTCTGGCTTTCATCCAGCACACGTTCTGGGGTTCTGGGTCCCTACCCACCTCATTTCCCAACCTGTCTGCCCCTGGGCGCCCTGGACCACGTGGCACCCGGCACTCAGGGGGACCTCCTGAGCTCCGCTCCCCGAATGCCCCACTCCAATCCCTCAAGGTGGACACCATTCGGTCCTCCAGCCACAGACCTGCCCAGCAGAGTAAACGGGGCGGCAGCTCTGGGTTCTGCTTAACCAGCTCCCTGGAGCCCCCGACACCCCGTCCCCTCGCTCCCCAGCAGTGCTGTTTACCCCGTGTCCACACTGTGGCCGGGACTCCGCTCCCTCTGCCTCCAGCTGTCCCCTCACCCGGGCACCCGAGCCGGCTTGGCTCCACGTGGACCCGCGGCGACGAGCCCCCTCCCACGGAAACCCAGACGGGAAGGGGCAGGAAAGAGAAACAGGGGCCCCTCCACAGGCCCGGTCCAGCCTCCCAGGCCTCTGGCCACCGCAGCCCCTCTCCCTACCCACCGGGCTTGGGTTGCCGGGCCCCAGTCCCCGGCGGCCCTTCCAGGGGCGTCCCCGGGCACAGACGCGCCACCCTGCAGCCCGTCCTCAGGCCAAGCCAGGGAGGCCGCTCGGCGCACCGCGCACCGGCCGGCAGAGGCGGAGGGCGGCCGGGGTGGGGATGCCAGGAGGACCCAGCCCAGGGAACACCCCGGGGCGGGGGCCCCCTGGGAGCCCACGGCGGGGCGGGCGGACCCCGCGGGAAGGGGCGCGGGGAGCTCCGCAGGGGAGAGGAGGGACCGACCTCGGGCTCCGGCGGCGGCGGTAACGGCGGCGCCGAGGCCCCTCCCCTGCCCGCGCCGCCCCTCCTCTTCCTCTCCCGCCCGCCCGCGGCCTCGGTCCCTGCGCGGCCTCCGCGGCGGCGGCGGCGGCAGCGGCCCCTTTAAACCGCCCGCCCGCCGCGCCCCCGCCCGCCGCCCGCGCCTCCATTTTCCAGGCCGCCCGCCGCCCGCGCTGCCCGCGGCCCCGCCGCCGCCGGACATGGCCGCCAACATGTACAGGGTCGGAGGTAAGGCCGCCGCCGCCCGCCCGGGCCCGCGCCCCGCGCCCGCCCCCGCACCCCGCCCGGCCCGCCGCCCCCGCCCGCGCCCGCCCCGCCCCCGCCCGGCCCGCGGCCTCCCCTCCCCCACCGCCGCCGCGCAGCACCCGCCCCTCCCCCACCGCGGGCGGCGCGCACCCCGCACCCCTCCCCCAGCCCTGGGCGCCTGCCCGCCGCCCCGTCACCCGGTGCGCCCCCGTCACCCCCGCCGCCCCGCCCGCCCCCGCCGCCTCGACCCCAACCGCGCCGGTGGCGGTGGCGGAGCTGGGCCTGGGCAGCGGCGCTCTGCCCACCTGTTGGGGCGCCTGCGTGGCCTGAGGGCCTGGGAGGAGCCGGAGGCCGGAGGCGGAGGCCGGAGCATCCTTTGGGGCCTGGTGGCGAACGCGGGCCCGGGCCTGGGGCCGCCACCTGGCCGAGCCCCTCCCCCAGCGGCAGCACGTGGCCGTGCGAGGTGCTGGCTGCCCTCCGGGGAGCGGGCGTCTTGGGGCCCCACCCCGGCCCGCAGGGGCAGCGGCCCCTCGCGACGGGGAGCCCCAGGCCTGGGCCGCATTCCTCCCCGGAGCCCCTGGAGCGCACAGCATCCCCCTGTGCCTGGGCTTCCTAGCAGGGTCCCTCCGGGGTTCTCAGCCACAGGCTCCCACGGCACCCCGAAACTTTCCCCGTTCCCGGATGCCCTAGCCCAGCAGGGAGCCTGGGGGAGAGGCCTGCAGCTCCTGCCCTCTGCGGCCCTGAGGGGGGTGTGCTGAGCTGGCCGGGCACCGGGAGCTTCCTCCTGCTTGGGCCCCAGGACCCCTGCTTTGGGCCTTTGCCCCACTTCGTGTGGAGTGGGCTCTGGGATGCCGTGCCGCTGAGTTTCCGTGGGGTTCTGAACCGGTCTTCATGCGCTCCTCCAGGGCGAGGTGGGGTACCCTTGCTGCCCCCCATGCCGTCGGTGCCCTCCGCTGGTGGAGTGTGTCAGGTGGAGAATAGCACCAGCCCTACTCTCCAAGTCCCCTCTGCCCCTCACTAGCCAGCTGGCCCCTGGGTGTCTGGGACAGGCATCTCCGTCCATCCCAGCCCTGTGACCAGGCTCCCGTCTGTGCGGTGGTGAATGTGGCACCTGCCAACTGTGCCCCCCCAGAGGTGGCACTGGAATGGGGACCTGCACCCCACTTAGCAGCAGGCCCCTGGTGGACACATCGGGGAGCAGGCGGGAGCCCCATCCCAGCTGACTGATGACCCTGCTGCTGGGCCCCCCAGGGCCTGACTCCCCGCCTTCTGTCCTGGCAGCACTTAGCCTCTTAGTCTCTGCCCCCCCCCCCCCAGCTGCTGCACCTGAGGGCTCCTCCTGTCCTGCACTCATTGCTCCTGGTGCTGTCCCCCCTACACCCTGGGACCTCTGTGCAGCACAGTGCCCCTCCAGCCTGGCCTGAGGCCCCATGGCTCCTGACCTGTGACAAGGCTCTGCAGCCCACTTGCCGCCCCCTGGGGCCACCAGCCAGAAGCCCCTCTCAGGTGGTCTCACCCTTCCACCCTCAGTCTGGCCCTGAGTGTTGCGTAAATGGAGGGGTGACTGGCAGAACACAGGTGCTGGCTCCTGGGGGAGCTGCTGAGGCCCGAGGGAGCGGCAGCGGGAGGTGGGGGCCCGATGCTGCTGCAGTGCCTCAGTCACCCCTGCCTTGTGGGGTGGAGGTTCAGCTGGGGCCCCACTCAGGCCACGGGCCCCCAGTCGCCAGCTCAGGTTGTCCCCTTGGTGTGTGGCCTGCGGCCCTTGGTCTCTAGGTCACCTGTTTGAGAACATTTGGCAGGGGCCTGACCACCCCCCACCTCTTCCTGTGCCTCAGTTTCCCCGTGGTGTGGACAAAGATCTCTGTCCTATGTCAGCTCCTTCAGGGGAGGCCTGACCAGACCCACGTCTGCATGTCTTCTCCAGAGGTGTCCTGGAGTCCCCGCCCTCCATCTTGAGTGGCGCCCCTGGTGTGGCTCCAGGCGCCACCTAGAACTCCTGGTCATCCCTGTGGGAGAAACTGCGTTTAGCCCCGGTTGCTTGATGAGACCCGAGGCGGCGTTCCCCGGGTGCTGGCAGGGCTGGCGGTCCTGGTTGGTGGGGTGTTGGCAGGTTGGCATCCTGTTTGAGTATAGTTTGCTCGGGGAGGGTATCTGGAAAATGGGTCCCTCTGTCCTTGCGTGGATTATCCCTGGGGAAGCACTGCAGGGACCCCTCCATCGTCTCCACTCGGGACCCTAAGAAGAGAGCTCTTTCCGAAGGTGCTGGATAACACAAGAAAAGTACTGGACACCAGCCGGGATGCGTTTCAGATGGCAGTTTCTTAGCACAAGTACATCCTGAGTGTTGTACGGACAGGCTTGTGCTAGGAAGTTCCTAGCAGAAGTCAGTTACCCAGGACAACGTCTGGGCAGCGAAGGTATGGGTCAGCCTGGGAGGGGACAGGGTCTGGCCCTGGACAGCGGCTGCAAGTGTGGTGGGTGGCAGGGTCAGGGTCCATGACCCCTGCTCCTCTGGGCCTGTCCTCCCAAGGGCCTGGGCAGCGTCTGAGCCAGCGTGGCTGCACACTGGATGCCAGGGTGCTGGCCATCTCGGCTGCCCCACGCTTGTGTTGCTGATGGCCATTTCCCACCCGTGTTTTCCTTATTCTTCCGTTCAGTGAAATTGACACCCATTTTGGGGGAGTAATTTACTCTCTTAAATACATACTGTAGCCTGGCCGGTGTGGCTCAGGTAAGACGTTTGTGTATGGGAATCCCCAGCTTACAAATGGCCTGCAGGGCCGAGCTCCGGGACCCCCAGCAGAGCCGCCCCCAGGCCCTCCTGTAGCTTTGATGGAGAAGAGGGGGCCCATTCAACTCACGGTTAAGAAAAGCTGTTATCAGGAGTGTGGAGTAAGCCCTGTGGGCAGAGCCCTCAGGGGTCCAGGCACCCCTGCACTGTGGTGCCTTCCTCAGCATGGACATGGGTGCTGGACACGCCGGGGGTGGAGGTGGGGGATGCGGGGCTCCTAGCAGCCTCCAGCTGAGGCAGGGTGCACCCAGTCTGATTTGGACTCCCTGGGAGGGACTGCCTTAGGTCCTCTGCCCAGGCCCCTGCATGGTACCCCCGGTGCCTTCTCTAGAGTCAGATTTATTTTTCTTAATGTATTTTTATTGATTTGAGAGAGAAACATTGATTGACTGCCTTCTGCATGTGCCCTACTGGGGATCAAGCTCAAAACCCAGGCATGTGCCCTGACTGGGAATCAAACCTTGACCTTTTGGTGCACAAGACCACGCTCAACTAGCTGAGCCATGCTGGCCAGGACCAGAGTCAGATTCTAAAACACCCTGTTCTGCCCAGGGCTCCTCTTCCCCTGCACTCACATCTGCTGCCCACCCATCTGTCTTCAGGGCGCGGGTGGGCCCAGGCCTGATGGGAGAGGCACAGCCGAGCTGGGCCCAGACAAGACGGGTGTCTTCACAGTGGCTGGGGGAGGGGCACTCTGGCTGGGTGCAGCTGCCCATGTCGGGGTGTGGTCCTTGGGGATGGCCTGGTAGGTGCCTGCTGGCTGGGCCGCTTAGATGCCCACAGAACCAGAACACCACTTGCTGTCCCCCCGTTCACTGGGGACATAGGTTCCTTGGGCCAGCAGACCCTCATTCATCCTCATTGGACTGGCCCGTGTCCATCCCTTGCTGTGTGGTCTCCCCTACCTTAGGAGATGATCCTTCTAAGGTGCTCGGCTCCCCTGCTTACCTCTGCTTAGCGAGGCTCGAGGCTCAGAGGGTCAAATCCTAGCGCCTTAGAGCCTGTAATCCAGCCCCACTGCTCCCAGCCACCACCGATGGGTCTGGGCGTCTGCATCCGTCCTGTTGGAGAACGGTGCACAGATGCCCCTTTGGAAGCCGGCTCAGTCATTGAGTGCAGTGCGCTCTAGCTAGCTTCCTCCCGTGTCCCTGTGGTCTGTCCCTTCTCTTGGTGGATGGAGTCCATGCGTCAATGTGCCACCAGTTACTCAGCAGTGGAAGGACATTTGGGTGTCCTCGTTCACTTAGGCTGGTGTACCAGAGCCATGGACTCGCGGCTCGTGAACAAAGGGAATGTATGTCACGTTCTGGAGGCTGGACATTTAAGGCCAAGGCTGTGGCAGACTTGTGTCCAGTGAGGACCTGTGACCCTGCTCGTGGGCACCACCCTCCTGACCTGAGTCCCCAGGAGGCTCACAGCAGGGCTGTTCGCAGCTTTGGGTGAACGAGAAAAGCCGCTGTAAACACCTGTTCTGAGTTCTTGTGTGGACATGTGAGCTTGCTTGGGGCTGTTTGGTTGAGGAACTGACAGGTTACCTTCTAGAGTGGCTGCCCTGCCTCGAGGTCCTGGGGCAGGGCTGGCACTTCCAGCCCCACCGCGTCCTCGGCACCGGGTCTGGTCAGTTTCCGTCGGTGCGCTGTCAGCCAGGCGTGCGGGCATCGCCCAGTGTTCTGTTCTTTTTTTAAATCCTCACCTGAGGATATATATATATTTTTTCATTGTCCTGAGAGAGAAAGGGATCGAGAAACATCGATATGTTGCCTCCTGTCCACTCCTCCACTAGGAATTAAGTCCGAAACCTAGGTATATGCCCTGACCAGGAGTCACACCTGCAGCCTTTGGGTGGACGGAATGACACTCCGGCTGAGCCACCCAGCCAGGGCTCATGTGTTTTTATTTGCCACCCTTGTGTCCTTGGTCAAGTGTCTGCATAAACCTCTCTCCTGTTTTTAAAATTGGGTGCTTTTTTTTTTTCTTTTTTCAGTTCACAGTGTTATCTTGTGTTAGTTTCAGGTGAACAGCACAGTGATCAGAGATCGTTTAGTTACAGAGTAATCCCCCGATGTTTCCAATGTTTCCAATACCCACCCTGCTTATGCAGAGTTATTGCTATGTTATTGACTTTATCCGGTGGTGAACTTGACATCCTCTGACTACTCTGTAACTACCGCTTTGTACTCCTTAACCCCTT